ATCCCTGCCAATAGTTTGAATTTCACTGGGAAAAGCAGCTCTGAGCGAGAGTGACAAGCTGCACGCTGCTGACGAGGCTGTCAAGGGATGGATAATGGAGCTTCACTGGAGCTGTCAAAACTTTTCAGCACTAAAAATAGGTATCACAAGCTTCTGGACTCGCTGCACTGAAGCATTAAACACACAGGATATTGACACCCTCAGAGGCGCCCAAAGCCACTCACAGCTGAGCAAAACCAGCATTGTGTGATGGACAGCAAAGGCCCCTGAGTTGTACTTATGTGGAGAAGAGCAAAACAACACAAAACAGGATGAAATCTCCTATCCACGCTGGCCAAAGCAAAGCCAAGATGCTGCACACACACCTTGGAACAGAACAGCTCAATATGGGATGCAAACCTGGGCAAAGACAGAGAGGAAGGAAGGGAAAAACTGGGAGAGAAACTCGTGTACTGTTATCCCAGTTCCAGATCCCACAGAAATGCAGGGCAGAGATATTCCCATGGCAGCTCCTGCTTCCCTGCCCTTCATCCCTCCCTGCCCCTGCCCAGCAAGAAGGGCTCAGAGCTGTGAGGCTGGGAAGGTGGGAGAGCAGAGGGTTTTCCACAGGAATGAGATTTCCATGGAAGGGATGAGCCCTCCCCAGGCAGTGACCCACCAACGGACACCAGCAGCAAAGCAAAGGGTCAGAGGTTTTGTGGGACAGGTGGGATAGAGGAGGGGGATAAAGAAGCATTGTTTACAAGCTAAATCCAGCTTTTTTTATTCCCTCTGAGGTGCTGGGATGCCAAGCACAGGCAGGGCTGTCCCTCCATTAGGCCAATATTTATGGCAGAAAGAAAATGAAGTGTCATAAGGAATTACTAATTAGATGCTATCGCAACCCCGCGTACAACTGAAGCAGCGCTCTGATGTGCTTTGTAAATAATCAGCAAATTAACTTTCACAATGCTCTGCAGGGCAAGTGTTATCATCATCTCCTGCACTGCCCTGATGGAATAAAACAATTCAGTTTGGGCAGATTTGGGAGAATTTGGGAGGGGACACCAGAAGGGAAGGGAGAAAAGGAGGCTCAGAGGGGACCTTGTGGCTCTGCACATGTCCCTGCCAGGGGGGAACAGGGACAGGAGGAGAGGGAACGGCCTCAGGCTGGGCCAGGTTGGACACCAGCAGCAATTTCCCCATGGAAAGGGTGGGCAGGGATTGGAACTGCCCAGGGAGGTTTGGAGAGCCCATCCTGGAGGTGTCCCAGGAGTTCCTGCACAAAAATAAGAGATGCTGCTCCACTGCACATGTTCTCATTTTTAGAAAACAAGCTCCAATTTATCTCTTCTATTACAGCCAGATGGTTTAAAGAGGAAAAAAACCCAACCCAACAGATCTCCCCTCAATGTCACCTCAATGAAAAGCAGGCCTGACCTGGTTTCAGCCTCCCTGGCCCGAGCAGGGCACAGGGATCACACTGTTAACAGCTCTCCCAGGGTCCCTGAGCCTCTCACAGCCTGCCCAAAGCCCCCAGGGGGAGCAGAGATGTGCACCTCAGTCCTGCCCACAGGGCCACAGCACTGCCTGTCACAGCTGACTCAGGCTGTAGCATCACAGCTGGCACAGCTGGACCGGCCACATGTCTGTCTGCGCCTCAGAGCCTGCCCTGCTCCTCCCTGCCTCATCACTTGTGCTGAGCTGCCCTCAGGGGGCTTTGTCCCTCCTAAAACTCCCATCAAGTCATTCAAGTGAAAGAGCAACACAACTTTCCATGAAGGTAAACACCGATTTTCAATCCTCCCTGTTCATCCTCCCCTCGTTCAAAGCCACGCCACAACATCCCACATAATTAATTCCATTTCCCTGTGTCTGTTTGCCAGTGCTGTGCTGCTCAGGAGGAACAAACCTCTCATTTCAAAGCACAGTTTGTGCCCATCTGTGCCCTCTGTGAGGCACCACGTTCCAGGGGGACACAGGGAACCACTGGCACAGCAGCTGGGACACACCAAGATCTGCACCCCAAAGACGCTCCAGGCAAAAAGGGAGGTGGGATCAGGTTCTCAGGAGAGGCTGAGCCTGCTCCATCCTTGGGAGGCTTTCAAGCCCTGCCTGGAGAGGAGCCTGGCTTGGTCCCAGAGCTGATCCTGCTTTGGCAGGACCCCAATGTCCCTTTCCCTGACTGACACAGCGCCCCAAGCTCAACTCCCCAAACAATTCCCAAATGCCCAGGGCCACCCATGAGGCAGAGATCTCCACCAGGGAACACCTTTAAACAATGACTTCTCCATGGCCAGCAGGGCAAGGAGAGCAGAGGCAGAACAAGGGCAAAAGGAAAGCATGGAGCAACTGGGGAGGCATCTTCTCTGAAGTGCTGTCTTTTGGTACCAGCACATTGAAAACAAAATAAAGAGCTCTTAAAGCTTGTTCCAAGCTACTTTTTTGGAGCAACCCTGACAGACACAGCTACACATTGACCTGTGGAAGGGCTGCTTTAGGGTGTCACCTGAGCCTCCAGCTTCCAGTGCCACTGCTGTGCTGTGATCCTGCCCTCCTACTTGTGCAAAAGTGAGGCTGAAGGCTCAGAGAGCCACCCCTGCTCTGAGTGATGCCCAAGACTCAGAGTTCATGCACAGATTAACTTCTTAAGCAAGCTCAAGGGCACAGACCTGCTCCCTGTTACTGGCAAAAGCCTCGATTTCTGAAAACCACAGTAGTTCCACAACTGCTGATTACTTCTCCTCATTTGTACTTTTTTTTTTTTTTTTGACGTCCTGCCTGTTCCTCCTACTTCTTATGAGGCTTTTCAGTATTTGTCTGTGACTTGAGTGCTAAAGCCAGCTTTGGGATTAAACACAACATTTGGGAGGGGGACTGCAGCGCTGCCTGCTGTCACTGCTCCAGCTCTAAGAGGCTCTGAGAGCCAGCAGGGCACATCCTGCCCTGTGCAAGTCTGTGACCAAAGCTCTTGTCCCTTCCTTCTGTCCCCCACATGCACACAGACAGCATTAATGCACAGGGCAGGGCTGAGAGGCACTGAAGCTGCAATAACTGGGCAGAGGGAACAAGAACTCACTGCTGCACAGGAACAGACCAGCTCAGTTCCAGGCCTGCACTGATTGCCCAAAAGCAGAAGTGTGCTGAGGCATGCCAGGAATGCTGGGCTGGGTCACTTGCAGAAATGGCTTTGATAAGCCCACTTCCCCCAGAGAGCCAGGCTGGGCACAGGAGGCAGCTCCCAGACAAAAATAGCCCTGTTCCTCATTTTGGGGCTCTGCAGAAGCACCAGAGCTCCCCTGGGCTGAGGCCAGGCCAGCTCACAGGGTGTGAGCATCCCTCCCTCCATTTTCAGTAATACCAGCTCAGCTTCCTGCACAGACACCTGGGCAAGCAGAAAGGCACAGGAAAGCTCAGGAGGTCCCTGCAGATCCATCAGGGGATCCAGTGCCTCTCCAGGAGGAGCCTCCTCTTCCTCCTTCCCCCTGGTCCTTACAGCAGCTGTCCCCATGGACATCAGCTTGCAGGAGAAGCTCCAAAAGCCACAGCAAAGCAGCACAGCACCACAGAGGGCAAGGAAAGCTTCAACCAAGGGTGTCCATCTATTCCTGCACTGCTCTGATGGCACTGCTGGGACAAACAAGAGAGCCAACCAGGCTCCAAGACAGCTCCTTCCTCCCCAGGGCTCTCCAAAAACAACCACAGCAGGGCTGCCACATCCTGCCTCTTCCAGCAGCCTGGCTCCCAAAACACCACAAATTCATACACAAATGCCAAAATTAAAAAAAAAAAAAGGGATTAAGTTCTGTGTTAGCCATGGAAGCACCAGGCTTCAGGGCAGCAGCCCCTGTGGCACGAGTCAGTATTTCATACAACAGAGAAAAGGGAAGAGAAATGGAAAGCTCTCCCATCTTCCTGCTATTTTGCCTTAAATGCACTGTAGTTTATGTCCTCAATAAAAGCCTGTGCATATCTTCCCAACTTAAATGTGGATTGGAACCTTGGGATTACTGCCCTGGCAGAATTAACGCATTAGACATAAAAACCATAACATTTCATTATCCATTGTACAGCACATGTGCTTTCCCCTGGGAGACTGGAAATACCACCAGTTTCACTATCATTTTCTGCTAACTGGCTGCCCTGCCACACATTCACACAGGGGCACGCTCACTCTGATGATAGAGCAGCCCTCTGGTTTCATCCTTCTTCCTTTATGATGCTGACATTTTTCTAAATCCTGTTTTTCTCTTTTTTGTCTCTGCACTACAAAACCACTGGGCTGGAAAAAAAATAACTTACCCTGGAACAAAAAAGCAGCTCCTATTAGTGTGGCTGGAAACACAGCATACCCTGATGTCTGGAGCAAGGGTAGAAGGCAGCACAGAGGCAAGAAAACCCCAAACACAGCAGGGCAAGAGGACTCAGACTCATTTATGGGCACTGTGGTCAATGGTGAGGCACTGAAGGACAGAACCTCTCCCCTGTGCTGTCCAAACTCCCTGTACCTCCCTGTCAGTGCAATTCAGAGATCTCACACACACAGATTTGTCTGAAAGGCCACAACAGGGGCAGCACACACAGCATCCCCCAGGAGTGAGCACACAGTGGGCAATCTGCAGTGACCACACAGAAATGCAGGCAGGAGCAGGGGCCAGAGAGCAGCCTCTGGGTCACCCTCGTGCTGCACCTTCCAGGCTGCCTCAGGGAATCCTTCTGTTTAATCAGTTCTGTGTCTTTGCAAAGATTAGCGACCAACTGTCCCCATTTAGTGCTGCCATGGTCTGTAAACATTCCTGGCTTGGATAAAACAGGCAGCTGCCCACAGGAGCTCTCACATTAACATTCCCCTCTGCATCTCCAAGAAGCCTGGATGTTGTTATTCCCAAAAAACCCTGTTTTATTCCCAAGGGACCACTCCTCCTGCTCTGCAGGCTGGGGGCTCTGCCCCAGGACAAGTGAGCCAAGCAGGAGCTGCAAACACACACACCTTCACCAAATCCACCCCAGCATTGACTCACATGGGGCTGGCACAGCAGCAATCGGGACCAGAGGGAAACATTGGCTGTCCCACGTGGCTCCTGGAATAAAAACAGAAAATTACAAGGTCAGCTTGAAGCACCCACATGCACAGAGATGTTCAGCTGTGACCCCCTGAAACACACCTCAAACACCTCAGAAACACACCCCAGCAGCCAGGCTGTTATCACTGACACACCTCCACCTGTTACTGCAGGGGGGCAATAATTCAAACCCAAACTGCTCCTCACTGCATTTGCCAGAGCCACAGAAGCCAACTGAGGGGGTTTCCCTTTGCTCTGTGGCCAGTCAGCCCCAGACACTGAGGGCAGCAGGAGCATTTCCCTGCAGGCAGCATTTCCCTGCTCTACAGCATCTCTTTGCACAGCCCTTGGGTTCAGCTAGCTGTACCCCTGCCCCTGAGCTCTCAGCAGAATTAAGGTTAGTATGGATCTCACAGAACAACCTGGAAGCACGGGCAGAGGTCTCAGGTAGCAAAATTAATGTATTTATGAAATAAATCCCCAGAACGCCTGCACAAGCAGTGAAAGGTCACTGATCCCCAGCAAACACCACCCCCAGACTGCTCAGGATTGGAAGCAGGACTGCACTGACAGCTCCCATCCAGCAGAGATCTCCTCTGGCTCTCCCCTGCCCAGGGCCTGCTGACAGCTCCTTATGGAAAATGCTTGTTCCCCCACACCAGGGGATGGGAAGAGCAGGGCATCCCTGGCCAAGGCACCACTGAGCAGCTCTGGGCATGATGTAACAGCATCAGACATCTGCCAAAGGAATGAGCCAGCTCCAACATGCCCTGCTCCAAACCCGCACAGCAATTTCCATTCCACAGCAGCAGCAGCTTGTGCTGGGGCTTAAACCCTCTCCAAAACATCCATTTCCACAAGGAAAATCCATGCCCAGGGCTCCAGGAACACACCTTGTAATCCCTGTGAGCCATGTCAGCCTCCAAAGCTGGGAAATCACTTTGTTCCTGGGGATCAGGGAATTTAAAATGCAAGAACTTGGAATGTCCTGATGGGTTTGGTAACCTGAACCCCGGGAGGAAACACCTGCTCTGTTTCATCCATCCATAATTCCATGGCAATGGCCTTTGGCTCGGACAATCCAGCTGGGAAAGAGGGGAGGGAGCTGCCAGGAGCCAGCAGCCCAACCCCACACAGAAAAACACTTTCAAAATCCACCAAACCAACGTGAGTTCCTCCACCCAAACCCTGCAGGGACCCCATCCACCCCAGCAAGGATTTGGGGTCACAGCTACACCTCCCCTGTGCCAGCATCATTTCCCAGGTTTTTATGGAAAATTAAATTTTCCAGGATCTCACAGAGAAGAAGAGGCACGGCCAGAAAAAAAAAAAGGGATTTTCACCAAAAACTCACCAACAACTGGATGTAGCCATTATCCCAGCCATCTGCTTGGTGGAGTCACACAGGATGAAGCCAGGACCTGTGCACCCAACACGGGTGGGTGCCCAAAAAAATCCTCCTCCAGCCAGCAAAACCCTTCTCCCAGCCCCCCAAAAAAACCCCTTCTCCCAGCCCCCCAAAAAAAACCCTTCTCCCAGCCCCCCAAAACCCCTTCTCCCAGCCCCCCAAAAAAAACCCTTCTCCCCCCCCCCCCCCAAAAAAAAACCCTTCTCCCAGCCCCTGTCCCATCACAATTCCTGCCCCAAGCAGCTCCCTGGGACAAGAGCCATTCCCTCCCTTGAGGAGCACAAGGATGGACACAAGGTTCAGGATCACCCTGCAGTAATTCACACTGCATCACAGCCCTCTCAGGGAGAGAGAGCAAGGCCAGAGTGGGTAGATAAACTCAGCTCTGACAGCTCCTAATCTTAGCTTAAAGCTGCATTTCAGTAATATGTGTGCAGAGGTTTTCATGCATCTCTTGAAAGACGAGCAGAAAAACAAATCAAAGGGTTGCTAAAACCATTCAATTTTCCCATATAACCTAACAGGAGCTCAGCTACAAGATCTACAAAGTGTTTTTATTTAGTGTAAGGAAAACCTGTGATACCCAACTCCCCTCAGGTCAGAGCAGTGATGTTTTCTGCCCCAGGAGCTCCAGCCTTCCCAGGGATCTGTTTTGTATTATCTATAAAAGCCTTTTCTTCCCTTTTTCTGTTCTTCCCTTTTTCTGCTCACAGGGAAAGCCAGCATCCCAGCAAGTGCTGCAAATCCCCAGTTCTGTCCCTGATTTCAGCACGGCTCCACAGCCTGTATCACCCTGCAAAACATGTAACTCCAGCTCAGCAATCCTATTACAGTGCTCCCAGCATTTGTAGAGCACAGATTTAGCTCTCAGCTCTCCACTGCTTTATCTCTTTGTGGCTCTGCCAGGGCAAAAATCAGCTCAGGCTGCAAAGGGGTGATACCCAGATGCTTCTCATGGTTTTGGTGCAAATCTGGGGGGAAAAGCTCACGGAGCTGCTGTGCACCCTCCCAAGGATGCTGGTGGCTGCAGAGGTGACGTGTGACAAAGAAAGATGGCCAAAGAAACCAAAATCAGCAATCAATCCCCAACTCCACGTGCCCCTGGACTGCTGTCCCTGCCTTTGTCAGCACACTGAGCCCAAACCCACAGCAGCTCGGGTCTGAAGCTTTAAAAAGTCATTTAAAAGGAATAAAACCACCCTGCCACTCGAGGATGTTTGGAAACATTTCCATTTTCTTGGAAAACAGGCCAGGGGAAGCAGAGAGGTCACAGGCAGCCCCACTGAAGCTCTCACAGGAGTTTCTCCTCTCCTCTCCTCCCCTCCAAGGCCAATTCCTGCTTTGGCTTCCAAGGGGCCATTCCCAGGAACTCTCACAGCTTCACCCTGCAGGGAAACAAAACCCTACAGCATTGCTGGGAACCATCCCAGCTCTTTGCTCTGGAAATCCTCCCCTCCCCACCCTGCAGCCCCTGAACTCCTCTGGCTGGGCTGAGGCGGGGCGGCTGCAGCCCTCACCCACGCCTGGCCCACCACTCCAGCATGCCTTCCTCCTCCTCCTCCTCCTCCCTGTCCATGTGGCCTTTGCCAGCAGCCAACAGCCCAGCCTTTGTCCTGCCTGCAGTGCCCTCTCCCCAAGCACTGCAGAGTTCAGGAACTTTTCCCAGACAGAAAAGTTTATAAAGCAGCCCCTGAGAGTGTGCTGAGTGGTTTTGTTTCACACAGAGCTCACACCTGGCTGCAGACCCCAGTGACTGTGACACTCCTCACCTCTGGTGACAGAAAACCTGCACTGGGGGCTCTGCAGCCGCCCATGGAGCAGCAAAGCCCTGCAGCACTGTCTGCTGGCCCAGCAGGCTCCCCTGCCCTCCCTGCCCTGAATATGCTTCCACAGGAGTGGAATTGGCTTCTGAAGGAGCTGCACATCCAACACATCCAAAAAGGAAACCTGCCCTCCGTTTTCTCTTCTCAGCACCTCTGTGATGTGCTGCTGCCCTCTCCTCACTGCTCCTCCTCCCCGGGTCCTGCCCATGGCTCTGGCCTGCAATTACACCATCAGCAGCAATGTTCTATCAGTGCCTGCCCCTCTCTGTCCTCCTGAGAGCCATCCTTGCCCTGCTCTGGGAGCAGCACAGCAGCACGCAGGGAGCTGCCAGCGAGCACCAGGTCTCTGTTTATACACACACACACACACACACACACACAGGAACGCTGCTGAGGCTCCCTGAGAGGGAGGAGGGACCAGAGAGCTCCTCCACCCTACACAATCCCACCATCCTGTCAGCTCCCTGTAAACACAGCCATGCAGGCTGGAGCTGCTCACTTGGCAGCACAGCACACAGGTCTGCCAGCCCCCCATCCCCTCTGCCGTGCCATCTCCCTGCTCAGAGCCAGCACAGCTCACACAGCACCCCACAGCTCTCTCTCCATGCTCTACCCTGCAAATCCTCCTGGGAGGAAGGAGGAAATTGCACCTGCTCAGGCTCAGGAGCATCACCACAGCGTAACGTGCAGTTATTGCAGCACCTGCAAGAGTGGGATGGAGAAGGCACCACTGCTAAAAATCCACTTCATGCTCTTCCCTTTGCCCCCTTTGCTGTCTGGCAGGGAAGGGAGGGCTGATTTCTGCAGGCAGGCTGTTCCCACTGACCCTTTTATTTTATTTGTATTTTATTTTTATGTTGTTAAGCCTGCTCCCAGCCCAAAGGTGCCCGTGCCTCCCAGTGTTCTTTTCCAGAGGAGCAACCCTGCCCTGCAGAGTGAGGAGCTCTGAGCCAGCAGCAGCAGAGGGAGGATGCTCAGTTTGACAAGGAGGCTGTCAGTGGGCTCTGAAATGTCACTCCCACACCTCACAGATGCACTTGGCTCATACCAGCAATGTACTGGAGCTCCTTTTGTAAATGAGACAAAATGTTTCACCAGGCTGGAGATGCAATTTGGGAAAAACTTCTCCTTCCCTTTGCATTGAGAGGCATTTCAATTAATTGTCTTGAACATATTTAAACTGTTCCATCCTTTCTCAAGACATTCTTCCAGGGACAAACCATGTCCTTAAGTAAAACCCATATGGCACCAAGCTGAACTTTAAAAACCCCAAAATGACACCACAAAAAATGAACTGATATTTCAAGCAGGTGGATCCTCCACCTCTCATCATCATCATTGTCCCTGACTTTGGCAGAACTTCTATCTGTGAATAACTCTGGAGGGATAACCAGGACAAATGCTGGTATCATGGCAGCTTGTTTTGCAACAAGCATGTGAGATAAATCACAGCTGGAACGACAGGAAAAAAAAACCCCAAGCGAGAGGAGACACCAAAAGCCCGTGGGAGAGAGATAACACCAGTTCCACTGACTTCTGGGATCTAATCTTACAGAGAGCCCATCCTTTCAGCACCAAAAATAATCCATTAGATGAGCTTTCCTTTTCAGCATCCATTCTCAATCCATGTCAAAATTGTCCCAAAAAGGCTCAAGCACCAACCACTGCCATCTCCATGTCCTCTCTACCCCTTCACATTCCTTGCTCCAAATCCAGGTGGAAAAGGAGGCAAGCCCAACTACAAAGCAGCTCAACTTCAGTCTATCCTGAATCCTGGATAGATGAAA